GTGTCCCTCTCCACCAGGCTCCAGCCAGGAGCCTGTGTCTGGCCGCAGGCTGGTCTCGGTGGGCTGCCCCGAGCCCTGCCCGCAGCAGAGCTCTCCGCCACGCCGGGAGCCGCGGGTCTGCCGGGACATCAGCGGCTGTGCCATCTCCTGCCTCAGCCCCTCCAGGGCCAGGGCGAGCTGGGAGTTGGGAACCAGCAGCACTAGAAAACCCAGCAGTCACCCATAGAGAGCTGCTGGGTCCTTCTGGTGGGCACAGCCAACAGCCACCCAGGGCCCCCCCAGGGGTGCTCAGGAAGAGCCAGGCTGTTTCCCACTGCGCTGGGCTCCCAGCGATCCAGCACGTGGCCAATGGCTCCATCCCACCACCCCTGCCCACAGCCACTGCTGGAGGGGATGGCTTGGTGCACGAGACACTTCCCTGGGTGGATGGGAGAAGAGGGAGCACAGCACGCAGCTGCAGGAGCTGCCGGTGCGGTGGGGACCATGCATACCCCTCCGGAGGCAGCGGGGAGCAGGGCGATTTCTCCTGCCCAGACAGGGCCCTTCCCCTCCAGCCAGCACTTGGTAGCTGGTTTTCTTCAGTTCATTACTCATCCCCTCTCCTCAGGCTGATGGCCGTTCTGCAGGGAGCTTCCCAAGGTGGAGGAACTACTAGAAACAGCATCACAGAAAAAGTGAGGCTGGGAGGAGCTCCGGAGGCCTCCAGCCCGACCTCCTGCTCTGAGCAGGGCCGGCCGCAAAGCTAGAGCAAGTTGCTCAGGACCTTGCCCTGCCCTTTTGAAAACCTCCAAGGGTGGAGGTGACACCACTCCTCCAGACCCTGTCCCAGTGCTGCACCACCCTCCTGGGGAAGTTTTCCTTACACCCAACGAGCAGTTCCCACGGCACTGCCCGCGGCCTCCCGCCCTTGCCCGTGTCTCTCCGAGATGAGCCTGGCTCCATCCTCATCCCAAAAGTGCAGAGTGACTCGTCACAGACGCTGCTCACCGGCAGAGCCAGGAGGACATTCGCTGTCGTTTCCCCATTGCCTCGAAACATCACAAAGCAAATCCCAAGCAGCGAGCAAAGCTGTAGGAGTGAGCACAGCGTGTACCCCACAGCCACAACTGCCCTCAGCACCCGAGTCCGGAGTTTTGGTAGAAACGGGGTCCTGCCGATGTGAAAGCAAACAGCGGTGATATTTGAAAGGCATTTGCTGGAATTGCACAAGTGTGTTTCTAAATCTCATTTCTTCTTAATAAATGTCATAGGACCGGGGCGGGGGTGACTTTCAGGCTACGTTTTGATGTTTGCTGCCCAGGTTCCTGATGATTCACAGAGCTCCTAAAAACCACGTCCCTCTGCAACGGCCTCTCCAAACCAAGAGCCTCAGAGCCACAGGGGAAAACACAGGCTTGCCTTCGAGAGCAGGGAGAGAGGCAGGGACATGCTGCTTCTGCTAATGCTCCCAAAATATTACTTCTGTTTGAGATTTTTTTTTTTTTAATTTACAAGTAAAACACTAATTCCTGAATGTAAATGAGTAAGAAAATAAGTTTGTTGAGAAACATGGCCTTAACCTCAAGCTCCGTTTTGGATCAGTGACCACAACATGCTGGGAATCACGAGCCAGGCAGACAGAATTCAAATACTGCTTCAACCCCAGCTAACACCGACTGTGGAATTCCCAGCTGTGACCAAGGCTTTTCCAGTTTGGGTGCTTTCCCCAGTTAATCAGATTTGTTATTTTGGGAGTGATTGCCAAGCGCCCTCCACAACCAGCACACGGGCCCAATTCGCATGTTTCAGGGGGCACTTGCGTTTTTGTGGCAGGCTTGCTGGGACTACGAAAGAGAAGAGCGTATTTTTGTTACCCGCGGAATGAATTAAGCAGGAATTTCTCAGTCCTGGATTGATCACCAATCATGATGATACATGCATGTGTGCACTTCCCAGCCCGCCATTCCATGGCTTTGTCCACCAACACCTGGGAAACTGCCAAGGCTGGAGATCCCCCTCGCCACTGACCCGTCCTGGGCTGCAGCACCCTCTGGGGGAAGGTTTTCCTCATCCCCAACCTCAGCCTGACACTTTGCAGCCGTATCCACTCCTCGTTTCTTCTGCCACAGCCATCCCTCCTGCTCCTCCGTTTGACCCACGAACAGACTAACACGGGGCCAAGCTGTGGGGCTGCGGGTGGGTGATGGGACACTCTGCACCTCTCCTTGGGCCCCCCCGGCCGTGGGGACACTGGGAGGGGCTGTCACCGCTGACATGCCTGTGGCAGGCGGCCTCCCCGGCTGGGACTCCGCAGGGCAGCTCTGGGGAGCTCAGGGCTTTGCAGCCCAACGCCCGGGGTGCTCCAATCCCTCCCGTTTGTGCTTGCAGACGTGCCGCTGAGCAGGGCTCCCCTGCCACGGGCAGGGAAACGCGGGCCTTGAGGGAAAGCCTCGGGCAGAGCGCTACGGTTGGGTTTGGGTGACCAGCACCGTTGTCCTGCCCCATCAGAAGTCCTCCCGGCACTGGCTGCAGCCCCTGCGCAGGAGAATAAAACAACCAAGCGATTCTGCAGCCAAGATGTCAGCTAGCAGCCATCTCACCCAGGAAGTGCATCAAGAGACCAGCCTGCTGGTTTGCCTTGGGATTTTTCCTTTCACTGCTGCCTTGCTGAGATAATTTTTCACCGTTCCCCCTTCCGAGCAGTCTCCACTGCTACCCCAGCTTTATCTTCAAATTCAAGGTGACCCCGGGCAGGGCTCTCTGGCATGCCGGGACTTGCTGCGCACGCCTGCTGTGGTGCTCAGCATCCTCACGGTGGTTGGCATCAGGCACAAGCGGCGCCTGGCCTCAGGCCAAGGCTGGGGGCTGGTGACCTCTGCTGCAGCCTGAGGCAGGGCTCGAGTCTGAGCTGTGCTCAGCAGCCAGGCCCTTCCCCATCCCGAGGTGGATTTGCAGCCTCAGGCCAAGAGCACCCAACTGCACCTGTGGGTTTGTGGCCTGTGGCTTTCTGGGAACACGTTGTCATGGCAAGCTACCAGCTCTTCTGATTGCCCTTGCTAGGGCAGCGAAGGAACCCGGTATCTCCAGATTGAGCCGACCTAGGCAGGTTTCCCACCACCCCCAGCTACAAGCAGAATCAAGCTCTCTGCGGTCAGAGCTGCAAATGAACGGGTGTAAAACCCAGACAGGTCTAACACGGGGACTTGAGCTACTGCTCCACCTTCTCGAGGTGACCTGGCTGGCACTATCACGGTCCAACTACCCCGAATGCTGCGCAGGGACTCCCTCCCCTCCTCGAGACAGTTGCTACTCTGCCCAGCTGAAGGGCGAGCCAGCCCTGCACGCTTGCAATTTGGCTTTCTCTGAAGCTGCAGCACGCCTGGTCTGTAAACACTTTCCAGTTTTCCTCAAGTCAGCAGAGTATCTCCATGAGACAGTGTCTTTTGCGGGAAGCTCCCAGCCACATCCTGCAGAGATGTAGGGAAAGGAACAAAGGGAAGGTTTCTCAGCAGAGGCAGGATGAAAGAACGGAAGGCTCCAACTCAGAAGTCAGGATTAACCACATCTCCAGTAGCTTTTCCCCTTGGAAACACCTGCAGTGCCCCTGTCAGCACCCCCCGCCCCCAGCGGGACAGGAGCTCTCCCCCAAGTCTGGCCGAAAGCTCCTGCTACCCCTCATCACCCACAAACCTTCCCGAGGCAGCAGATCCTGCAGACCGGGCACGCGTGAGGGGCAGCACTGAAGAACAGAGTCAACTTCGAGGACAGGCAATACCAGCCGTGCAGCCAGAGCTCTCCCCGAGAGATACGGCACCACGCAACTGGAAGATAGTTTTACATAACTAAAACCTACAGACAGAGAAGGAGCTGGTAACTGCCCGCTCAGCCAGCCCAAACAGCCCCCTCACTGCCGAGGGGCTGTGAGGCACCCCGGGACCCCCAGCCAGACCCACACCGGCACATTCCAGTAAAGCCACGGAGGGGGGCCGGGACAGAGGCACAGTGTGGGGCTTCGCTCAGAGCTGCATTAAAATGCATGAGCTGTGCTAGCCCTTAATGATGAGCAGAGCTGTCAAACAAGGAGCTTGTCCTAGCTAATTATCTCTAACGAGGGCAGAGTGTCAGGGTCCCTGAGGAGCTGGGCAGCAGCTTCCCACTCAGCTCAGTTGCAGAAGAGGGAGAAGATAAGCAAATGTCATTGTGCTGGCCCAGCTACAAAATCATTAATTAGGCAAATGTGACCTTCTGTGCCAGTTTGCTCTTGAGAGCCTGGACTCGCCTGAGCCAAGACATACAGGCAGGCTGGAAACACACCAGCTTTTGACACCCAACCCATCCCCTGCAGCACGGAGCCTCCTGTGCCTGTGCAGAGACAGCGCAGCCCCAGTCTGGCAGCCCCTGAACAACCAGCACTACCAGCCAGGGGCTGCACAGCTGGGCCACACTCACCCGGGGGCTCAAATACTCCTTGCAAGGGCTCCAACCCATTCCCAGACCCAAAAAGCAGCAAAGAAGTCTGGTCTTCACGAAACACCACCATTTAAATCGCATTCACCTCAACTACCTCCCTCGTCCCTGGCCACCAGTACTGCCCTGCAACGGCTCTGTGCCCACCCAGCGACCACCTACACAGCACCTCATCCGCAAATATTTAAGGCAGACATTAAGGCACTGAGAATTTCCACTCCCCTGTGGTCCTGCTCCATTCCAGTGCAGAGGGGACCAGCTGCACACTGCTCTACAAGCCCAGTTTCTCTCATCACGGGTCTTGCGGCTCAGAATCAGACACTACACGTGCTAGCGAGGGGGAGCACATCTCATCCCAAGACACGGTGAAGACAAAGTCTCTTCTGGGGGAAAGTGACAATCCAAAGACAGGGCTCACACGAGGTCCATCCTGCAAGCCCTGTCCTTGTCCCTCACCTCAGCACTGAGAGGAAAGGGAGGAGAGGCTGGTTTTTCTCCAGCCGGAAACCCACTGCAGGAGCACGAAGCTTAAGGACGACACCAGTGACACACAGCACCGTGCGTTAGCATGTAATTATCGTAAATGCCTCCCTTGTTGCCAGACAGGAGCAAAGGCCTCAACACCCACTTCAACTACATTTTTACTAAAAAGATTTCAAAGTCACCAATTTCAAACAGAAACAGTGCTGGAACCACCCAAGGGGTCAGGGTGAGCTGTAGGGCCAGTGACTGCAGCTGGGGAGCTCAGCCCCACGTGCTGGCAGGCACTGCCTGATGCTGGGGGCCTGGGGTCACGCTCTGGGGGCACAGTCACCTCTGCTGCAGAAGGCTGGGGACTGATCTAAGTTACACCATCACTGTGTCTCACAGGCCCTGCTGTAACACACTAATGAGCAATGAGTATCAGAGAAAGCTTTTCTGATATTCATTCCCAGAAAGCATGTTCATTTTACAACATGACCAAGCTCTCTACTCGTACAGGCAGAAGAACGACATGAAGTCAGTCTTACAAGAACACTTTGAGGCCACAGGCCAGAAATTCTTCCCTCAACCCACAGGAACGGTTCCTCACTGAATTTAGGCTTTGTTAGATTTCAATAACTGCAATATGCTCCTGGGCATGCTCTTCATGCATCCCCTTCCACACAAGCGTGGTTCAGACAGAAGACTCACTGAACCCCATAGCCTGATCTGCAGCAGGGCTTTTGCTCCAAAGGTTTCTTTCCTTCTACTGCTTCTGCAGTTCCTGTTCTTTCAGTTGGTTGACGAGCTCTTCAGCATACACCTTAAAGAGTGGGACAGGGTCCTGAAACAAATCAGAGGATAAGCCACTTAAAAGGAGTGAACCTGAGCAGCACCAAGGGGTGAAGCCTAGCGGAGAGGCCAGGGACCTAGTGCTGAGGGAGTGCTAACAGTTAAAACCAGAGGAAGATGCAGTCGGGCTTTTTTTCAGGGGCTGAACAAGTCAGCCTGCTTTGCTGTTCCTCCAGACACAGCTGCTGCTCAGCTCTGTAACACTGCCTCAAAGATGACAGGCACCTGCATGGGACATTCATCAGCTTTCTCAGTTCTGCCTGCAGATGAGAATCATCAGGGATCCCTTTCCTTCTAAAAATGCTTCCCTCCCTCCTCACACTGCCCTCACAGCTGCACCCAAGCATGTTGAGGGAACATACCCCTTGACGAAGCTGGAGCCCCGCAGGGTTCAGGGCCCAGCACTGCCTCATGCAGTCAGTGCTCCGGACCTTTCGTTCCTGCTGCAGCCAAAACAGGAGCAAACAGATCCAGGGGAAACGTCAAGTGACCCCAGGAAGGCCTTTTGCCCCAGCAGCTCTCTGGCGCACCCTCCTCTGCACATCGCTTCTAACAAGGGAGCTGCAGTGACAGAGGGTCACTGACTGTGTGGGCCCTTGGCTTGTACAAGTACAGCAGGTGGCGACCAAAGGCAAAGATGTTCACACAGCACAGCACCAGGTATGAGCCACCCCCCTAAACAGCTCGCTCCTGATTGGGGGATCTAGTTTATGGTGCACTTTAGCCTAGTCCCAAGTTTTGGGCTCCCAATTTTAACCAGGTTCATGTGGCTGTCCGGAGTTCCAGGGCACCACTTCCATCACCCTGCAGTGCTCAGGCTGTTCACATCAGCTGGATGTGCAGCCTCATACAGCTAAGACACCTCGGTGCTAAGCACTGTCTCAGAAACTCACCTTTTTTTCTAGAAGCCTCTGTTTTTCTATTGCTTCTTGTAAACTCAAGCCAACCCACTCAGCTTCTTCTTCTGGGATCGCAAATTCCTGTGATAAAAGAAGGAGCAGATGGTACAGTCTTTCCAGGTGACTAAGATGCAAATCCTCTCCACGGTCAACTCACACAAACACGTGATCTAGTGGGAACGTTACTATAAACAAATCTTAAAACACTGTTCCCTCTTTTCTGGCAACCAAAGTCCGCTTCCCTTCTCTTTCCTTACCCAGGGTCCCGTTTTCTTCAATCAGCCACGTGTGTTGCTGAGTTTCTCCTCTGTGTAGTTCTGGGGTTGTCTCTCCACACAACTCCACGGACCATGGATGCTGGTGGTGTTTTTATGTTGGCCACCACCACCAGCTGCACAGAACTAAACCACGCTCCTTGCTGCAGTATCAGCACAAATGCTCACTGCTGTCAACAGTGCCAGCTCCTACCAGTGCTTATTGCAGACCCTTGTTCACCTCGATCACAGCAATACTTGCTTTTGTCTCCCAAAATGAGCAGGACAGAAATTAGCAGCCCACGGAGAGACGAGAAAAACCTGATAAATGATGTTCAGATCTTTACCTACGCCCTTAACACAGGAGCATTAACACCAGCTTGCGTTGTGACAGGGCGATCAGGGCACTACAGTGTGGACAACCAGCAAACCTCACTGCAGGCACCAGGGCAAGAACTGCAGGCCAGGCACCCACCTGGTACTTATTGTAGATGGCCTCTCTTCTGGCTGGATCATCAGGATGCAGTTTAGGATCCCGCCGTGCAAGTCGCAGCAACATTGTTCGCTTCAAATCCATCCCAAGCTTCGAGCACATATCAGCTTTTGGAGTCTGGAGAGATAAAAGTCTGACATTCAATTGCACCAAGAGACCCGCTGCCAGGGAGCGCACAAGTCTATCAGCACGCAGACAACGCTGGCAGTTTATCCACACGCTGTAGAGGCTCTCGTAGGGCCACACGTTATGAAAGGAAAAGGTCTCTTGGATTTATCCTACAATTTATCTGAGTGCAGTTCTGATCTTTAATACCAAGGGCTCCGGTCAAGCTTTGGGCAGGCACTAATACACTAACAGCAGCCCCTGGGCAAGGGCAGCGTGGGGACAGACCTGCTGCTCAGCGCGCCCCGCCCGCCCCGCTCGGCCTCACCTTGAGGATGTAGAAGTCAAAGCCGTAGGCCTCGTCGATGAGGTCCAGCGTCCGCATGGTGACGGTGATGGTCATCGTAGCGTCGAGGATCTCGCTGTAGAACTGCCGCCTAAAGAGCTGCGGCTTCCACGTCTTGGGCAGCCTGGTGGAGAGCTGGGCAGGGCCCGGCCGTCAGGGCCCGGGGACGCGGCCCTCCCCGGGGGTGCTGCTGCCCGCCCGAGCGGGCCGAGGCTGCACCAGGAGCCGCCCGGGACGCGCCCCGGTGCCGCAGGGGTAAGAGGGGGGCCGCTGCCGGCAGGCCCTGCTCGCCCGGGATCCCCC